AATGGAAGTTTTTAACAATTTTCAGGCTTGGGAATGTACTCTTATCTTTTAACTTGAGTGTCAACAGGAAGGAGAAATTACCAGGTCAAGATTTTTTAAGTAGAACAAAAAATGTAATCCTTAAGTGAAAATAACTGTTAACATATTTACAAACATTAGAGTGCTGTTAGGCACAAAATAACACATTAAATTGTATCTGCGTCATGAGTAATTTATCACAGACAGCTGAAAAATATAAGTACTACGAAAATAATGATTCTCAGGTAACAATTTAAATAAAGAAGTAAGAGATGTAAAGAGAACAGACGTTAAAAAGTATACAAGTCAGTCAACCGATGTCCTTGGAAAAAAAAAAAAAATCAAAATGAAAGAATGTATGTAGTGTTGACTGGCAGTAATTCTTATAAGAAACCTTATGATTTGCAACAAAAACGCATATTCTTTTAATTATCTACACTCTAACATTATGTTGGAACCTTCATACTGTCTATACATACAAACTTGATATTTCCTCATTATTTATCAGAGTAGTGTATAACACTCCTTCGATGTTTATTTGTGGAATGACAGATTTCATACATAAAGGCTAAAACAGGTCAGGAAATTGACTGAAATTCAAACAAAAATTACTTTGGAAACTTTTCACAAAAAGGAAACGGAATCAGCCAGACAATCCAAATTGTTCCAATGATACCTGGAAAAAAAAAAAGAAAATTAGAACTTCATGTCTGGATGTTGACATCTTGAAGCTGCATTTCCAATTTCATGAGTTAATTGTGTCAGTCACCATTTTATTTTATTGACTTCCTTTGATTTAATATGGAAACTGATATTTTAACAAGCCTATCAAGAATCATTAAAAACAGGTCATACAAGAAAAAATACTGCCAATATGAACTTCCTAAAAATAATTGACGATATAATTGCAAAGTAAAATAATTTTTCGTCATTTCAAAACAAAATTTTTAGGATTTAATCTTTTTTTAGGGCCACTGCTTCTTAAACTTGAAAATTTCTAATGGGAGTCTCATCTTCTTGAGTCAAAAATACATTTTGCAGAAAAACGGTAGAAAGTTAACAAAAATTAGAGGCTAATATCACCTTCCGATTAGAAGACGACTCAGGTCCAAGTTAAAAACCGATCATTTTTTTAAGAGTTTAATTAGATCAGTTTCAATAGTTGCAAACTAGGCAGTTGATGAGTTTAAAATGTTTGAAAATAAATGCAAGTACTTCCTACGTAAAATAACAGGTTTTAGGTGTACCTAATTTTGAAGGGCCGAAGGATTGAGAACAATAAACATACCCTTCCTTGATGTCCAAATGAGATGTCATGGCAGCCTACGATCTGAATTGAAATTTTTGCTACTTTTCGCAAAACCCATTGAAAAAAATAAAATATTGGCTCCCAGAGATTATAGAGTTAAGGGAAGAGGTTTTCATTGGAACCTTTCAAATTCTGAAATGAGATTTTATGATTTTTTTTTTATTCCTTCAAAACAGTTTCGAAAAAAATACATTTAATAATAATAAAAAAAAAAAAAAAAAAAAAAAAAAAAAAAAAAAAAAAAAAAAAAAAAAAAAAAAAAAAAAAAAANCCTAGGTAATTAGGAAGAATATTGCATTCACTGCTGAGAAGAGATAAAATTTGTTCTGATCTTTTTGAAGCATTTGCTTTGCAAAAAATTTCGGCATAAGAGCATTTTTCAGAGGCCTCTCTTCATTGAGAGACAAATTCTGTAAGCCAATGACAGCCAATTACTGCTTGAAAGATTACACCTTGAAAGAGTTGTTGAAATAATACTGATAAGCACTTACATTAAAAGCTCCTATTAAAGCATCATCCACCACATCATTTCTTAGTTTCCTTATATACTGAAGAAGTTCTGGTACATATTTCAGGGGCAAAATATCAATCTTGTCAAACTGCTGGAAAATTGTGAGCGTAGATTGTACTTCCCTGTAAATAAAAGAGAGATGTTCAGTCGGTTCAATATTAAGACATTAAAAGAGAATAATGAAAGTTGCTCAGAAAAAGCAGTATAAGAAACCTACAGTGCACGACCAATAGTTAAAATACCCCGCATATTTTCATCCGGTAAGTCCTGTCAGTAAAATTCTTCTCAAAAATCAATACAGTAGGTATAAATAAACACAATGATGATGATAAAAAGGGTCTTGATCTTCCGAGCCTCAAATCAGCTTTCAAAGGTTAAATTCTTTATTCATCAGATTAAGGAGAATTTAATTTAATATGAATTCAGATTAGTTTTACTTGAGCTGTGAACAATCCGACCCAAAGAGTTGAAAAATAGTTTTTTTGCAATTGAAGAGGCAGAAATGCACTAATGTTGGCAGGAATAATTTTAAAGGATTCAAGGAGGCGAGTCAAGGGTACCGAAGTTATGAGTAAATAATTTTGAGTGGTCTACAAATGACAATCTTCAATTTAATTTCAAAACGATCATTGCAAAGAATTGATTACTTTCTGTTAGAAATTTCTTAAGACCTCAAAACGCCCCTAAGGTTGTCTCGCGTCAAGTCATATACCAGCTCATTACAATTTTACAAAAATGTGAAGGTCTGCATCTTTGCATCTTTGCTTATCAACATTCAGGAAAGTCTGGGTAGACCTAATTTGGAAGGACCGTGAGGTAGATATCACAATAATCCAGTTTTCAAAAAGACATGCTTCCTGCCTGAAGAACTATCTGAAGATACTGAACTGTGATACTGAAGGACGATCTTAGTTTCAGGAACTATTGAAAAACGGTCTGAAAAGAAAGGTATCAATAGGGGCCGTTTTTGGGCCTGTACTGGCTGAATTAGGGTTGTCACAGAATTTAGAAATTGAAATTCCCTGATTTCTCTGTCACACTTTGGTAAAATTTCCTGACAATTGAGGATCTACGAGATGCTTAAGAAGGTATGATTGGAAATTATTTTCAGGCAAAATTCGTTGTTCGAAACGTCAAACCCATTCTAGAAAGGATATAAAGGTGACGACAGTTTTTCCCCGACATTTTTGTCATTTACCCTGACATTTCCTCGACTTTTTAAAATTCCCTGACGTTTCCTGGTATTCCTCGACTGTGGCAACCCTGTGAATTTCCTCAACTCAACAATTTTTTGCTTATTGAAGTTCTATAGTGTACCGATTAGTCTTTTTTGGGTCTAATACTTGCCTAAACAGAGGTCTGGGATTTGATCTCAAAACCCGCAATTTTCGCCAAAGTCGACTTAGGACCCATTTTTAGGCCCGTATTACACCCGAAAAGAGTCAGAAAAGAACCAAATCGTGATGTATTCTATAAATGTAGAGACCTTCAAGGAGTGAAAAATCGTTGAGTTGAGAAATTTCGGAGGGCCCAAAGATGGCCCTTATTAGTACCCATCCCTCAGACTTCAATAATCAGGGTGTCTCCAAGGTCCACAAAAAAAAATTAGGTACTTTTTAAGTACTACAAGAAAAATTAAGTACTTCTTGTTCTTATGCGGCTCGAGGCTCATCATAAATTGCACCTACGACTCTCTTCGCTATCACAGCAGCAATTCCAGAACTCCATGCAGGCTTGCCCCTCTGTTACGGGATACAGCTCATTGGCAAAACCAAGCAAATCGAGGATGCTCATTGGTCACTTTAAGGTCAGATGGCTGCACAACCGCGCTCTTACAGGCTGATATTGTACCAATGCTTCTGATGGACTACGCACAGAGATTGCATAACTATCAGGAGATCGAACTGAACGCATGGCGCAAAATGCAAAAAATTGCGGACCTTCCACGAAACTTACGTACTTTTTAAGTACTTACGGACCGACCGAAAAAAATGCATAGTTTTTCCGGACTTTACGGACTGGTAGACACCCTGATAATCGAGAGTTATGGCAAAACTCCGAACCATTGTATGAGCTTCTACCTACATCAGATTGCTCAGCCCTTAAGATTTAAATGCAGAGAGGGCATTTTGAAACTGCAGTAAAGTTCAGGCATTCTTTTGTAAGAGATCGTTTGATTTCACTTGAATTACAGTTGGCAAAAAATAAGAACCCATTTAAAGACATTGCAATTTGAGATATTTTTTTGATTGAGGAATAATTTGTTTTAGAAGAAATAGATTTTACTCACGGTGGTAAATTTGCAGGAAGCTTTGAAATGTCATAGTCTAAAAATGGCAATTCCACATATTGCAATTCAAGGAACCTCACTATAGATTGACGTGTAGAGAAAGGTGTGTAGAGTTTCACAAATTCATCTGTAATGATATGAGGAGTTCCGTCTATCATGAGCAAATGAAGCATCTTGTCTGAAACAACTTTATAAAAAGTAAATGATCAGAAAATGAAAAAAATTGCACACAAGTGATATACAAAGGGAAGAGGTAAACTGGAAGTGTAGCGTGTAATGCATTTATGTGTATACAATGAGTGTTTACACAAGGGATGTAAAAAACGCTTGATCACACGCCTGCCATGATGATTGAGGTTGTGGAAAAGAGGAAAACTTTCAAAGAATTAAAAAGGTTGCACATTTTTCTCTTTTTGGCCTGTATGGAGATTCAAAATACCGGCGCTTTGCCCCGGAGCACTACCATTTTTGCAAAATTGCAAAATATTCGCAATCCAATACCTAATGAACGAAAATAAAGTCACAACTTTGGAAATTGGAGAGAAATTTAGTAGAAACTGTTTGGAAAGATGAGTCGGCCTCCTGCGATGTAGCGGTTGTAGCGCTGGCCGAATGACCAAGAGATCCAGGGTTCGATTCCCGGCCAGGTGACCTGAGTATGATGGTCTCAAACAATGGTCATCTGGGGCTGGTGGTAAGCGTGGGATTTAGCCAATTAGGCTGTTAGAAGCTCAGTAAAAGTAAAAAAAAAGAAGCTACTTGGCAAGCATGTGAAGATGTAAAAGATTGAAACTTTCTGCACCCCTTATTCAAACTTTTGAAAATTTAGTTCAAAAAATTAGTAAAAAAAAATCATTGGTAAAAAAAATATGTTTCACACGTTACATTGGATTATTCAACAACTGCAAAGAAACAACTTTAAATTGTAGATACATTTATCTACTGATATGCCATACGATTTTTGCATTAGAGTGACTTGAATGCCACTATCAAGTTTCATGCTGAATTCAGATCGAGTCAGACAGAGTATGACTTGGGTGTACAGAAAATTTCACAAAAATATATGGATCAATCTATGCTAATCGTATTAGAAATTATGCAAAAAAGTTATTTGCTCTTTCAGATTTTATGAAAATACATTCGACTTCTTGGGTATGGGTGACAAATGAAAACGTTGTACCAAAAATAAACACTGAGGCGGAATGGAATGAACAGTGAAAATAGACAAGAACAAAAAAATTTAATATGCAAATTCATTTGACTCAAGGAGAGCTACAGTATTCTCTTTCAACCGAAGAAAATTCCCCATAATTGCTTTAAACAAAACGTCATAGGCATTAGCATTTGAAAAAGTCCATTAATTAACATCAGTAGGCATAACAAAAACATTTACATAAGAATTGAGACAGAATGTCTCGAGAGTGTGCAGGCACTTCTTGACTTACTTCAAGTTTATTGTTGAGAATCTGACTTTTTACGGAAGTGAGATGCTCTCTCAATGACTACTGACTGAGTGCTCTGGTATGAAAATTTTACTGCTTTTTTTTTTTAGTTAAAATAATTTACGAAGTTATAAACGGGAAGAGTGATTTACTACAAAGCAAAGCAGGGATTTAAAATGTGCTATCAAAATCCTTCAATCAATAAGTGTGAACGCTTTGGATAGATAAAAGCATACTGTTTTTTCTTTGATACAAAGCGTTGTGGACAGTGTTAGAGAAACATTGAGATGAATTTTCTTGTGGTTGCTTCGTTTATACTTTATCTAATCAGTGATGGTATAGTTTCCAGTTACAATTTAAATCGAAATTTACGTGCAAAATATGAATGGAGCAGAATAGACTTCCAGTGGTTTGATGAGAATCAAAAGGCTGACTTCATTGAATCTCGAAGGTATATCCAAGAAAATATAGCGCTGAACAAGATGAAAATATGGAACGAGGAAATTTTTCTTACAATACCCCGTTGGAGACCTGGTGTTCCAGCAACTCTAGTAAAAATCAACCGTATATCTGAGAGTGCGGGCAACCATGTACCTCAACTAGTGCCATACCCTTCATGGGCAATGCAAGATATTGGTTACTGTTTTGGTTTCCAAAATGTTGAAAATATTGAGATAGATAGCGAAGATAGAATGTGGATTCTGGACAATGGAAGGGTTGAGCAAGAGGATTCAAACTATTGTAAGCCAAAACTGGCAATTATTGACCTTCGGACAAATGTTATAGTACGTGAAGCGATTTTTGAGGAAAATTTTTTATCAAATTCGAGTATACTCAGTGACCTTGTCATAGACTCTGCGAATGGAAGTCACACAGGGTATATTATTGACACAAATTCAGAAAGTCCTCAATTTTTAGTTTATGATTATCATCGCGGTGTGATTGAGAAGTATCCTTGTGAGAAGCTTAGACCAGATCCACATGCTTCAAATTTACTCATTGATAACACACCAGTTAATCTGCCGATTAATACTGGAACAATAACTGTATCTATTCATGATAGACTTCTTTATTTTTCTCCAGTTTCCAGTTATCATGTCTATTCAATACCTTTAAATTTATTTACAAAACCTAGAGATGTGAGTAAAAGTGTCAAAGATTTGGGCCGAAAGTTGGGCCAGACTGCAGACTATGTAATGGATGATAAGGGCAACCTATTTTACGGGTTACTAAATAGAAATGTTATTGTTAAATGGAACCAGGTAAAATATCCTAACTTTCAGATAGGAAAAAGAATTTACTATCAACATCAATTATTCCTTCAATATGTTAATTCTTTATCCATAGATTACAAAGGCTACCTGTATATTCTTTCAACTCATCTGCACAAATTTATGAAAAACGAGATGAATCTTGAGCAAATTAATTTTAGGATAATTAAAGTATACATAGGTTCGCGCCCTTACTATTTCAACAGTAGCCTACTGAGGAGCAGAAACTGTAGTACCTCACTGGGTAAAACCCCTTTATGGCTGAGTGTAATAAGCGCAATCATTTTTTGGACAACTCAAAGGCTTCAAACTTAAATAGTAAAGAAGATATACAAAGGAGGATTTTGATATACTTAATCTCAAACTTAAGTATTTAGCCATTCGTCGACAGAGGAAAATTATGTATTTGTGAGTATCATGTGTTTTAAGACTACTGGACTAGTGTAAATAATTTTATTCTCTCTGACTCACAAGTTTAAAAGCATTCATTCCTTTAAAATATGTTTTTCCATCAAACACTTTGAACAGGTTAGGAACTCATTTCTTTAGGATACTCAGGAACTTTCAATTTTTCTTCAAGAATTTTAATTTGACACTCAGAATTCCTGCTTTCCTTTTTTAGGTAAAGTCTTGCGAATTCTATACTTTACTTTTACTGGTTTTTGTTCGTTTAAGAAAGCTGGTTTTACAGAATTTTCATTCCTACATGCCACATTAAATAGATTGTTAAAAATGTCACAAAATAAATTAGTTTTACTTTGTATTACGTAGTCTCCTCTTTTTCAAATTTTTCATTCGTTTCTCAATTCAACACTAAAAATCATTAATGGCTCTTCCCCACGTATAAACTGAAGGCTTCAAAGAAACTCATTGATGAAATTGTTGACCATTGCTTTTCAAAGATCAATGGCCTGCAGATCTTTGATGGTAACCAATGTAATTGGGACACATGGATCAGATTTTGGTATTTTCAAAGAATTTTGTGCATGGCAGGCCATGAAATTAAATAATTAGAGCCAGTTTGAGGAGCCAAGTTTGTGCATAAAGAAGAACCGAACTGTTTGATACACTCTTTGGCAGGTTGAAGTTGTTAGTGTGAAAAGGGTCTCATTTAAAGGGGACTCATTAAGACTTGGACTTGATGAATTTACTTAAGTTTCAAAATGCAAGGTCAAGTTGAACTAAAAAGAGGACTCACCGATTTTCTCAATAATCTTCTTGTTTCTGTCCACAGAACTTGGTGAGGTCGTAGCTACTGACGAATTTCTGAAACAAAGAAGATCTAATGTTGAAACCTCACTTACAAAAATAAATAACACAACTTTCTCCAAAAATAATTATTCAGTGAAACCTTCAAAGGTAGACTTGGATTATTACAAAGAGAAAGAAACATCAACGACGAAACTCCCAAGCCTCGAATCTCGGTCAGCAACGTTGCAGACTTCCTGTAATACTTCATTGTTTAAATGGAAAACTACTCAATAGCAATTCTAAAAAGTGTCATGTTCTTTCTTCACTGTCCCAAAAAAATTCTCTGAGAAGTTCAAGGAATGATGTTGATTTTTACCCCTTTAAAAATATAGAATAGAGCGGAGATTTTGAAACACCAGAAACGAAATAATTGGTTTGGGAGTATCACTTTCAATAAGACCTGTCGATACGTTGTTGGAAGTTAGGGAATTACCTATATGCCACTCTTTGTTTCACTTCTGTTAAGATTGGTAACAATTACAATCCTACTAACCTCCTAAAAATATGCTTTAAATCAACTTACCTGTTACAATCTTCTGATGCAACTGCTGGTTTAGTGGTTTTTTTAGATGGCCTTCGAGGGAGACTGATACCGACCGGTTTAGTGCTGTGCGATTTACTCGGGTGAGCGATAGGTTTTAAGTTATCGAGATCTTCGGTTGAAGTGGAGGAGATTTGATTAATCTGAGGTTCTTTTATTTCCTCTGAAGACAAACGGTCATCCTCAGCTGCAGTGTTTACTTCCAGTTTTATACTCTCCTTTAATTTTGATTTGTCTTTAGACTCAAGTTGAGGAAATAGTGAATGAAGTAAATTACCAACATCTCGGGGATCTTTGGATTCTTCAGTATTATTCACTGTTTTAGAAGTTTGATTAGAATCAGACATAATGCTACTCTGCTTTAATGCTTTTTGTACCAATTCTTCAGCAATCTTTTTGTAAATATCTGTTACGGCAGGATTCATGATTTCTTCCACCTTCTTAGATGAGGGACTTTCACCAGGCAGGGGCGTGCTGGTTTGATGATTTGAATGAGTGATGGTCCTTTGTTTTTTCGAGGCATCCTCAGAAATCTGGAGAGAGAAAGGAAGTTTCTTTTTATATACATGGATAAAAACAGGAGGGGGGTGGGCATATAATAATAAATCTCCAGGGAACATTAACATTAATGCTGAGTTTGCCACTCAATCAACTGTAGTTTTGATCAGTCACCTCTACTGAGATGGTAGCTACTCAAATGAATGTTGCTTTCTTTCTAACTTCAAACATTTACTCATAACGATCAACAATTCCATTGAAAAATTGACGTTTGTTCTCCATTCTTTATAATTTTGTTAGGTATTTTACTTTCCGACCAAAAGAAACCCTCAAATTTCATAGGTCAATATGAATATCCAATTCGTTGTCTCTTGCACAAAGAAAGTCTTGACTGCACTGTCTCAGTATTTTCTTCCTTACGTTTTATTTGTTTCTTGGAAAACTATCACATGAAATTCTTGAAATTTCTGGTGATTTTTCTTTGTTCTTGAAGGAACAGACCCTAAAATTTTCGGACTAATTAATATGCAACAGCTCTCTAATAAAAAAATTAATTTGCGTAGAAATACTGAAATAACGTAAACAAGACAAGTTACTTTGTGCAGGAAAAAATTAATTTATGTTCGTTTGATAAATGATTTCAAAAATCAAGAGAGATTCAGAAAAATTTAACGCTTTAAATTTTCTTGAGACATTTCTATCTCATTAAATTATGTGATTGCAGTATGGATCCAGAGAAAGTGGAAAATTATGCAAACCCTCCTAAAACTAGAAGCCCTATAGATCAAGACTGTGAGATCATGAGGAGTTTCACAAACTTCTGCCCTTTTCAATTTTTTTTGGACAGAAGGAAAATTCAAAATAAAATATGTTGAGATTTCAAAATTGAGTCTCACCCATTTAAAAGAAGTTACATTGAAAAAGGCTAAAAATTAGTGGCTGAGTATCCAAAATGGGGCCTCGAGGTTAATGTCAGCAAGACTAAGAGGTTAACCGTTGGCAGGAATCAGCAAAGCATAGAATTCGATGATGGGCGGCAAATTGGAAGCTGCGATATTTACAAATATTTAGGAGTTTTCCTGACCCAGGATGGAAGATTGGACCCGGCCATCAAGAACAGAAATATGCAGGGTAGGAGGGCAATTGCCATGTTAAATAGAATCTTTTGGGACCAAAGGATCTCCAACAAGAACAAAAGAAGGATCTACAACGCGATTGTCAAGAGCATAGTGACCTATGGGTGTGAAGTACGGCCGATAAAACGGGTTTAATGGGAGGTTTCAGAGGCAACAGAGATGGACTAGACATAGATCCGCTGGTAATTCAAGAAAGGATCAAGTCATGAATGAGATGGTACGGGAGATCATGGATGCCGAACAGACCATCGTGCATGACATTATGACAAAACAACTCATTTGGTATGGTCATGTTCAGAGAATTTAAGGAGACAGGTTGCTCAAAAAGGTCTTTGATTGGGTTCCTCCTCGGAGAAAGCGCAGCGGGCACCCAATGAGAGGTTGGAGAGAGGGGATTGAAGCAGAAATGTTAAGGTGCTCAATGCCCCAAGGGTTGTGGTTTGATAGAGAGCAGTGGAGGTTAAGAGTCGTAGAGAGGAAGGGTGTGCTATAAAGCGACCTATATGTATGTATGTATGTATGTATGTAAATTGAAAAAGGAAAAAAATTCTAATGATCATTTTATATTCTTTCTCACTAATTCTTCTGACCTTCTTTCCAATTCAGTATTGACCAGTAAAAATGCTCTCTTTAATACATACTCCCTTGGCACCCCTTTCACTTAGTTTCATTCTTGACTCATGCGTACTTAATACCGTATAATTCTATTCGGACAGAAATTTTGATTTGGCCATGTGTGATAAATTCAGTATACTACTGAAATTCTCACTATCTGTGAGTTTTTTAGCAGTTAAGTTCAAGCTTTTGTATTTTCTGCTTTTTTAACTTATCCTAGCAAACTCACTTTTCAATATGAGGAAGGAGTAAATTTTACTTTTTACAGTCCAAAACTTTAGTAAATGCAACTTTTATATGATTAGTAACTATATATTAAAAAGTTTACAACTTGTTTAACAATCAAATTTTAAGTTATTTCTAAATTAACGAGAATTTCAGCTGTGTGCTGAATTTATCGCACACGGCAAAATCACCAACTCTGTCTAAACGCTGCTTGCGTGAAACAGCAATCTGTTCGTAGTTCTACTCAATATTTTAGGGTTGCTATAATTTCTTCATCTTCAGGATCCCTGAATATTTTTGCTTTTCCCTGACTCCAAAATTTTTGGATTCCCTGACATTCGAATAAAACTTTCAACTGGATTTTTTCATCTTTAAATTACACTCATTTCTGCTATATGCACCTCACAAAACTCCCTGACTTTCCCAAACTTTTCCTGGTTGCTGCAAGTTCCCTGACTTTCCCCGTTTTTCAGACTGCCGGGAACCATGGTATTTTAAAATTCTAATATATGACAGTGTGTGTTTTTATAATTCAATTAAAATATAGTCTTTTCCATCACGCACTTTTAACTGTAGAGTTACATATTTTCAGATTATCCGCATTGCTTTCGGTCCCAATCACCCAGATCATAAAGGATCAACAATAATAAAGACTTTAATATACTTTTAGAGCTGAACACTTACCATAAATGGTGCTCCACAAGTAGCTGGATTCTCTGGGATGGATGAGACAGTCCTATTCAATTCTCGGATAGGTGAGATTGCTTGTTCTAATTCTGGCACTTGAACCGTGGTTGATGCAAAATCTGATGCAGATGCTCTTTCAGAGTTCTGAACCAGAGGATGGTTGAGCGATGATTGTGCAGCGTTCACTAAAGGATTTGAGGTGCTTAAGGGCTCATTTCCTTGGGGCATTGGAAAGTTCTGACATAAATTAGATCTAGGAAGGCTCAGATAAGGCATATTAGGCAGGCAAACATTTAGATTTGGAGAATTTAAGTTTTGAATGTTCGAAGACTGGAATGGTGGATACTGTTGATTTGTTGGTTGAGCTGTTTGATACGGGTTCAGAACTGTATTGGGAACTTGATATACTGGGGGCTGTCTGTTTGACAAGTGAGAAAATTGATTTGCTACAAAGGTTGGACTTGCAAAACCGGGTGGAGGCAACGAATGTGGAGAAGTAGGCGTGTACATGTTTTGAAGATTATTTTGGATAAATGGAGACTGCGTAAAGTTCATAGAAGGTTGGTGCTGAGGTATGTAGTTTATAGCGGGCTGTTGCAAATTGTGGAGGCTGCTTATATTTGACAGTTGAGCTGGAAATGGTAGAGGATTGGCATAACCTGGATACTGTTGCTGGTTGATCTGCGGAATGGTAATGTTTTGACCCAATGTAGACTGATTTAGGTATGAGCTGCCTCCCTGAATATCTCGATTTAGAGCTGAGGTGTCTGAGGAGACACATGGACTTGGAGACTTCATCTTTTCTTCCGCTTTCAAAAATCTAAAGATTGAATCCGCAATTGCAGTTGTTACTTCCTTCCTTTGAATCAGGGTTGTCAATACCTCCTTGTTGGATTCATAAACATTTGGACTGCCTGAAGTAACCTCAGAGTTGCTCATGCCGCACTGAAAAGAAAGAATGGTTCATGAAGTGCTATGAAACAACAACAAAATTAAAAAAACCTGGTATTATTCGAAAGAAAATATGTTAGAATCTGCCCAGAGCAACATTACTCTAAGCAGCAGCATAACTGCAGTGCTCTTATCTTGATTTTGGACGTTTTACCTGGAGAAATGTCCATAAAACAAGGCAAACTTCACATTTATATGTTTTGCTTTTCAGATGTATACATCAATGCACCACTTGCATGATTTCAAAATACAAAATACAAACACGGTACTTTATCAAGATACAGATATTTTTTTTTTATTTTTTTTTTATTTTTTTATTTTTTTATTTTTTTTTTTTTTTTTTTTTTTTTTAAAGGTTCTGCCTGGAAAATTTAAATTGAAGAATCTCGTTTTTGGCGTAGCAGGACAGCAATTCACAGGGTTGCCAGAGAATCTAGAAAATGAGATTCCCTGTCATTTCCCTAATTCCCCTGTCACATTTTATAAAATTTCCTGTCAGTTGAAGATATGCCAGGTGGCTAGAAAAACATAATTTGAAACAGTTTTCTTGCAAAACCTGCTGTTTAAAACGTCAAACCCATTTTAGAAAACAAATAAAGGTGAGTCAGCAATTTTTCCCAGGCACTTTCATCCATTTCCTGACATCTCCCGGTTTTCCCTGACTTTTAAAAATTCTCTGGCTCTGATGCTAATTTTTGGAATTTTTTCGCTTTGATTTACCCGCAGAATAGTGTAACCCTGCACTTGTCTACCATCCTGTTACTTGCAGTATTTGGGCCACATTTTAAGTGATTTTTCTTGCCTGAACACAAGCAAATACTTGAATGATGGTATAATTTGAAAGGACATGAGTACCTGTTGACTCTCAGAGCTCCATTGTTTCTTAGCAATATTTGTTCCATCTAATAGTGGTTCAGGTGTGTTAATTCTCGGAAAGCCAGGGGGAATCTGCGACCGATTTGCCTGAAAAACAAAAAAGCATTAGAGCAACATAATTTAAATCAAAATCAAGCCTGCCACCATTTAGAAAAAATGATCATTCACTGATGAAACAAATATGATGCTTAGTGAAGTCCGTTACAAAAGAAAACCGAGTAAAAAAAATTTTATTCTGAAGAAAAGGTACATTTCTTTCTCCAATTACGTAAACTTTCAGTTACAAAGTTCTTCCGGAAATGATTTGGATGCGATTGTTTGAAGTGAAGATAGAAACGGTCAATTTTAATACTGTTGCTTGGGAGATGAGCTGCTTTGGACATTAATGATCTCACAAATGAATCTACTGACATTTATTAAATCATCTTCCTGTACTGAATCTACAAGTACAATGCATTCATTCGTATCAATCTTTTTCACAAAGCTCTCTATTACTCTGCACAGCTTAAGATATGTTACGCTGAATTTCAAATTTTTCGACATCACTCTCCCTGCACCGCTTTTATTAGGTAGGTCCCTATCCTTTAGCACATGAAAACAAAACGGCATTACACTCTCCTTGATCCCCCTTCTCCATAGAACGTTGCCTATTTGGACTGCATTTTGCAATTTGAAACTATAAATTCTGGCTCATCTGAAAAAACACTTATGTGCATAGGGAAACTAATGGCACATACGTTGTTTTTAAACCGGGCCAGAATTTATAGTTCCAAATTGCAAAATGTAGTCCATTTAATATTGAATGGGCGACCCCTGAGTTCGAGAGCATCCAGAATCAGTCACCAAACCCCTGGTTTCAATCTTCTTCTCGGCCTCTCCTCCTTGCATCCAGCCCTTTTTTGGTAAGACTATCTGTCAACTCCAATGAGGAGCCCAGTACCTACAGAGTTATGATTGGTAGCTTCCAATAATTTGACCTCAGAATATGAATGTGCCAGATAAGCTGGTTAGTAATATCTCATGCTTGATGCCTTTCTCTAGTTCTGACTTCACACATTCTATCATTATGTAAGCTCTCTTCGCCACACTGATCATTTGAATTAGTCAATAACTAGATTGTTACAAGGGTGTGGTATATTTGTAGGTGGAAAATGTAAAATCTCTGAAGAGAGGCCAATAAACGGCCACATAAATTATTGTTTCAGGTAGGTACTCAAGGGTACAAGGTTACAAAGGGTAATTTGACGGACATTTTTTAATCAAATTTTGCAGATTCATCGTCCCTCTCCAACATAATGTATTAATCTATTTATTGACGAGCTAGAATGATCAGCTTCCAAGAGACTCCTGGTGATCATCGCCAGAAATGTATTAAAATTGCTATTATTATGTCCGTGGTTTACTTCTTCTACAGCCTAAATTCACGCCTAGAAGTTTTAATACTTTGCATTGTGACGTTTAAGTCAAATCGTTACTACCCTTAAAGATTCTTTAATCTCCAAAAATGGACCACTAGACGAAAAGTGCCAATTAGAGTAATCTGATACATGTTTCCTAACCAAAATTGAACCTAAAATATGGTCTACTGGACGAAAATGACTGAAATCAACTCCTTCCTGGGGTATTAATGTTTTTAGTTTGCATTCGCTACAGAAACTTGATATTCTTTGCTCATAAGAAAAACAATAGTCTACTTAAATCAAATTGCGTACTGTAACAGATTTTTTAGGCTTCTTTATCAAGCGTTGTTCCTTCCCTGCACTCAAAGAGTTGACAACTTGCAACAGCTGAGCCGAAGCTGCGATTGAAGTTGCCATATTTTCATACCATGGAGACTGTTATGGTAGGTACCTTTAAGTGCGTGATTTAACTCCTGTAGACTTTTGTTTTTTCATAAGTGGAAAGTTTGAATTTTCACATTGAAAAACATTAAATACCTTAGTTAGGAATTGATTTTAGTAATTTTCATTGCGCTAATCATTTTTGTTCATTAACAAACATATATCATTCTCCTGAATTTGCATTTTGTATGGCGGTTCATTAACAGACTATCTGTGAACATTTTCATCACAAAAAATCACATTGTATCTATCAACTTAGGCTCATTGATGACACATTCCGCAAAGTAAATAATTTTTTAAGGTTTAGATCAAAATTACCAAGCAGACTTTGTAATTGTTAAGTACAGAAACCGAAATAACTTCAAAAGATGAGTAACAAAAAATGAACAAGATGCTTTTTCTTGATGAAGCCTAATCAATCACAGTTAAAAAGTATCAGATATGAATAATTACATCATCAGTGTCTGGATCTATGAACCAATAATTGGCCTTACATTCTGGGCAAAAATTTTCTTTAAATCTTTTCAAAAGCTTAAACCGCGTTTTTCTACAATCTGAGAATTTTTGTCATGGAACTTCCAGGCTCATATCTCCTTAAATTTTTAAGCTTTCAGGGTCAAATTTATGCCAAAATTTCCAAATTTTCTCGCTTGATACATTAGCAAAAAGTGAAGGACTATTTTTCCCAGAGAATAAGGTCCCTTTTTACGGATCCTGTCACATTTTAAGACATCAACAAGTCACCACAGACTTTGTAATTTTTTACAAGAAAATGCAACACACCAATTCTCATTGCTGTACAAGAAATAGCCAACATAAAACAAAACCTAACTGCTCACTTTGATGTATTAATGTTTTGAAAAAGCTCAAAAAAGGATAGTAGCTTTCCAGCATCTCCTCTCGTCCCTCAAGTATTGGCCAATTATTGCTCAAAAAGGTAGTCCGACATTTTTTCTTTCTTTGCCGCAGGTCAAATCCATTCAATGAGTAAATTAATTTTTCCCAGAAAAAGTCTACAGAGGTGGACACACTCTATTGATCTTAGTTTCAAATCTCTGCTAGATCACACTGACAGTAAGAATATGAACTTCACAACAATTAAACCAAATGCAGTTGAGCTATGAGTTCACCTTACGGCACGAATCACCCATCAAATTCTTTTTGCAAAAAGCAAGTTTCTTAAATTTTGTTCTTGGCAACTGGTCAAGTCAGAATTTTAATTTTGTTACGGGAGAGGTTATCGCCTCAGCTTTCTATAGGAGTATTTGTTTGTAATTTTTAATGACACTTTTGCTCAGATATTACGTTTAGCCCCAGGCGCATGCTGCTGCCAATGCAATTGACGCAGCGTTCACTTTTGTAATTTACACACATGACAAACATTTTTCAAGAGACAAAGAAACAAAATTTGAGCTGAAAATTTGAATTGCTTTTAGCTTCAACAGTTTCTACAAAAAAAGATAGGGAGTAAACAAGAGAAACTACATCTAAATAACAACTCAGACCCAGATGAAGACTTACATGCCATTGTCAAAACTTACAGCCCATATTTTGCTGCTGCATTTGGTTAAATTGTGAAGAAATAGGCTTTTTAAAGACTCAATGCTTTCATATGAGGATAAATAAAATAGTCCATTTGTACAGAATTTACAAGGAAAACAAAATTACTCATTGAATGACCCTCAAATTTTGCAGGAGTTCACCTTATCATTGACGCAGAATTTATTTTTAAGAGGATAATATTTAAAATAAGTTATTGGGTTGCCAAAGCCCAAAAAAGACAAACCACTTTATCAAAGTCATAAAATGTTGCTGTAATGACTGACATCTATGGATGTTACAAACCTCCTTCAGGCCAGATTCACATACTAGAGGGAAGGAGGTAAATGCTTTTCGAGTTTGTGATTTACAGCAAACTGAAATGAATAGACATCAACAGCCAACTTTTAGATTCAAAACGGAGAAATATTTTCCGTAAGCATTCCAAAATTTATTTTCACCCTCCCAAACAAAGCAAATTACATTCAGAATTTGAAAAGCACTAAGCTCCAACGCCATATTCAGAAAAAGAATGCAGTTTTTATTAAAGCATAATTAATATCCATATTTCACGAATCATTAATGTATATCAGAGATTAATCTGCAATCAATTCAATTCTTAAAAAGAATTGCATGAAATTTTCCGACTGAGTCTTGTAAAAACTACGTCAATGATGTACAAGGAACTTCCTTCACAATAAAAAGCCAAAATTGAGGGGGAAAAAGAGTTTATTAACAAAACAAATGACTTGAGAATGCACAGTTGTGTAACAAAAGGCATCGCATAAAATAATAAGCAGTATCAAAGGAAAAATAAATGTAGAAAATGTAACAAATAATAATTGATTATCATGACAACATGAAATGATATAATTCATTCAAAAAGGTTCCTACTCTATGAACAAAAAGGATTACTTAATAAGTGATAAAGGCACCCACAAAAGAAATCCTCCATAAATCAACGAACGAAAAAAAAAACCTCTTCAGGGGAATTAGCAGAGATGGAAAATTGAATTTATCTTGGTCTCACAAGTTTTCTAGAGATGCACAGAGTTCAGATAACATCTCATACTATCTCTTCGGATTCGGAACGAAAAATCCACTGGACTTAATGCTTAATTACTTAAGGCAGCAAGTTACTAAAGGAGCATACAAAAACTCATCTTTTCTACACCTCTTTTCATCAGAAACTGTTAGATTTGAGTAAGAGATTTGAAATTATTAAAGGAGAATTTCCCGTAAGTTTTGACCATGCAAGAACCAACATATTTGTAGGCTATCCTACTCTAATGATCTTGAATGACTTGAGTTAATGATAAGCGCAGTTTTAACCTTTCTTTGAAAGTATGTATTTTATTCAAACCCCTCTGCCAAGTTTGTGGTATTGAGAGCCACGAGAAACACATAAGTAAGAAGAAAATAAGATTGTACAGACCCTATTTCATCATATTACGTTGGTACCTCTTTCAAAGCTTCACAAACTTTTTGGAATTCATGATTGCTTGACTAAGCTCATAGAATTTCATTCTGATTTGCAAGTTCTATACACACTCGCACAGATCAAATAACTAAGTCGGTTTTGGGGATGGTTCCTACAAGGGAATATTTCCTCTTAAAATGACTCTGGTGTCAGCATTATTTACTTGATACTGTGTCCAAGCGCAAAATTACCAATTTATAACCTAAAGGGAAACAGGAATTCTACAC